TGCCAGCTTTGTCCACATATTCACTCTGCTGATACCATTATTGGGCCTAACCAAGTAAGTTATAAGATCAAGAAAACATATTCCTGCGCATCCAGAAATATAATTTATGCTATCATGTGCCGAAAGTGTCCGTCTGCTTTGTACATTGGACAAACGTCTCAGACACTTCGCCAAAGGATCAATGCCCACAAAACAGATATTAGACAGGATCACAAAGAAAAAACAGTTTCTTCAAATTTCAACCAGAAAGGACACTGTCTCAACGACTTAATTACCTGCATCCTGCTCCAGAAGCCTTTTAAATCTGCACTTGAAAGGGAATCCTCTGAACTGTCATTCATGCTAAAATTCGACACTCTACGTGTCGGTCTCAACAAAGACACTAACTATCTTACCCATTACAAAGATAGCTTCCCCAATTATCACCTCTAATACCATTAGCTCGCAGACATTTACCTTCCTCCCCCTTTCCTCCACATCCCCCTTCTGTTCTGAAATGTGATTTGTCCTTTTCATATGTGTTCACTTTTTTTTTTAATTGTATCCTTTGGTATATATGGTTGTGACTATTTTCTTCCACTATTTGATCTGAGAAAGTGGGTCTGGCCCACGAAAGCTCATCATCTAATAAACCATCTTGTTAGTCTTTAAAGTGCTACATAGTCCTGTATTTTGTTTCAGCTACACCAGACTAACACAGCTACATTTCTATCATTATTCTTGAGTGGCTTTGACAATCACAGTTGCACATGCATGAATGCACCACTGTAGTAGTAGATGTTTGAACAGACAATACATGGCAATATCAACACCTCTGCATGGATGCTGGCTCTCCTAGGCCAAAATAGTCTGGTGTGACACTACCTACACTGTGGCCCCAGGCCTCCTCCTGCAGTTCCCACTCTTTGTGGTTAAAGCTGGTGCTGGTGCCATGCTGTGGGGACTCCAAGTGGCTGGTGCTGGGGCCGAGGTTGTGCTGCCTGCCTGGTACTGAGGACAATGGGACTGCACCACTCACCAGGCCGGTGCTCTGGGAGGGTCTGGGGATGCTTGGATAGCCTGGCGCTGGGACACAGGGGGCCAGTGGTAGTGACGTGTATGCTCTGGGTTCCTGCAGAAGAGGGAGAGGCAAAATGGGAAGGGTAAGGGACTAGCCTTCCTCAACAGTTGGTTCATTGGCTGCCCATGCTCCCCTGCCTGTGATATTAAGCAAGATTGATGGACTGAAATGTATTGTAAAATGACCAGTAAAATCCTGCATATAATACTTTAGACAGCTATTTGGGTTTTTAGAAATGGTAATCATTTTTTACTTCCTAGATGTCTTGTTTTATTCAGGTCAGGTCAAAGATGAATCAGTTAAAAGGATACTTGACAATATAATTACTATAGAATTAATGCATCTGGACAAAACATAAGGAAAAACTGATGCAATATGCCACTTTCACAGAGTTTGAAAGATTTAGGGCAAATGTTTTGTGATGTGTAGGTGGTGCAAATGTGGACAGCTCCATTGACATTCACAGAGTTCTGCTGTATATACAGAGTAGTGCCAGTTTTGTGGGTTTGTGTTGCTCAAGCTAAAATGAAATACATGTGACAGTGAAAAGCACATAGCAGTCACAATCATGCGTAGGGAGTTTTGGAAGCAGCTAGTGGAACTATCTTGCCATTCCAACATACACTCGTGCTTTCACATACCTATTTATGTAATGAAATATTTGTGTTTTTCCTCAAAATAAATTTGTTTGGAAGGACAGTTTTAGGCTGAAGTAGGAATTCCACAAATTGCTGTATTCGTCTAAATATATTTTTTCTCTTTTTAGCAGCCTTGGTGCTTTTAATTTGTAGAGTCTAGGCTCAGGAGCTAAAGGCAGGGGTTATCAAACATCCTATTTTAACACAAGTTCTCTGCTATGTTTGTGTTCTCTGCTATGTTTGTATTTTGAAAACAGTTCCTTCAGCACCTGCAAATCCCAGAATCTATGTGTCACATGGTGCATATGAAGGCAAACACAGAGCCTCAGTAGAATTTAGGTGGAATAAACCGAAGACAGAAAATGGAGTATTAACAAAGTTCAGAATTTACTATCAAATATTAAATCAAAGTGGCACAAATGAGACATTTACAGAATGGAATATAAGTGATGTTACACCCTCTTTGATGTCCTTTTCACTCCAAGATGTGCTTCCCAGGCTGACAGTGAGGTTTCAGGTATGGAAAATTAATAAGGTGGTGATCTGGTTTTTTTCCGGTGTTATAACCATGTCACAATGTATTATCTAATAATTTGCACAGGGCTGGGGGCCAGGATTTCTGGTTTCCTTTTGTAGCTTTGTCATTGAGTCACTGTTGGAACTTGGGTTAATTATTTAACCATTCTGTGCTTTGCTGTGCCTGTCAGTGTAATGAGGACAGCAAAACTGTTTTATCTCCCATTACTATTATACAGGTTTGGAGTGGCCTAAAGGAAAGTTTCCTGATTTCCCAAGTCCCTGTTAGTAGCAGTAGGTTAAGTACAAATTCTTCTGACTTGTAGATCTGACTCCTGGGTGGCTCAGAGTCAAAGACCCAACAGAGCTTAGTTCCACAGATCAAGAATGTGGATGGCAGAACAAGGAGCAGTGGTCTCAAATTACAGTGGTCTCAAGTTACAGTTAGGCTGGATGTTAGGAAAAACTATTTCACTAGGAGGGTGGTGAAGCACTGGAATGGGTTAGCTAGGGAGGCGGTTGAATCTCCATCCCTAGAGATTTTTAAATCTCGGCTTGACAAAGCCCTGTCCGGGTTGATTTAGTTGGGATTGGTCCTACTTTGGGCAGGGGGCTGGACTTGATGACCTGCTGAGGTCTCTTTCATCCCTAGGATTCTATGATAAGAACATCCCCTGAAAGCTTTCCCTCCCTTCCCCCACCCTGCCCCGTGAAGAAGAATGAGGATTTACGTGATGTCTGTTACCAGCGGGCCATATTTAAATGTAGTGTGGCACTTTGTTTTTCATTATGAGGTGAGAACAGAGCCACCTCGTAATGCATGGCTTGGTGGTGCATTAAATTCAAAACACAAGGGGCCAGGAGAGCTGTGTCCTTGTCCAAGGATGAAACCGCTGGGCCTGCTGAAGAATTACAACACGGAAGCAGCAAGTGGAAGTGCTTCCAGACCTTTTATCTGAAATGAGAAGAGCCTGTCTCCTTTACATGGGGACCTACTGTAGATGCAGGATGAACTATTATAGCCCAACCATCTTTAGAAGCCCCTCTCCACTCAGGCCTTGATCCACCAAAGCACTTAAATGCACTGAATTTAAACATGTGAGCTGTCAGCGGAACTATTCATGTTCTTATTGTGAAGCAGGTGCTCAAATGATTTCAGTGTATGTTGCTAAGTAATATTTCTCCTGTTCTGTTTATCTCCAGGTGCAGGCCTTCACATCAGCTGGTCCAGGACCGCTATCTAATATAGTAGAAGCTAACTCATCAGGTACCGATATTACCCCCATCCCTTGCCTTGCAAATGCTAATGCCAGACTCAGTAGTACAGGAGTTTGGTAATGAGCCTTTTACCTTTAGAACCGTGTCTCAAATATAGCTCAAATTTGATTTCTGCATTTAAACACAAATTTATATTCTCTGTATGAAAGCAAATTTCACATACTGAGCCCTAGCCACTTCCCCATTGTAACAAACTATGACAATTATTTCCTTGGGCTGTTGTAAAAAATACATTGCTGCAAACAACGGACACTTTGCCAGTTTAATAGCATGTGTAGTGTGGAGCATTAGAACCCATGACCCAAACCAAAAATCTTATGTGTCTACGCTTTGAGCAAGCAGAAATAATCTATTAGCTGTTGCTAGTATCAAGGCTTACATCCACTTTGTACACACTCCATGTAGTCACAAACAACAAGCAAATGTTATGTTCCATCCAGTAAAAGTCAGTATAAATCACACATCAGCCAGCACACTATACTGAGTAATATAAATGTTTCCTTGAATGGAACCTTTGTAGCTCTTGGCTAAAAGTTCCTGTGTAGATATTGTTATTCATTTAGTTCTAGTTCTCCTTCCAGTTGAAATTATGTAAGCAACAATTGTGTTAATCTCCAGAGTGGTTAGCGCAAGTCTCAGTTTCCTTGGGTACTATGAATTGGGGTGCTTTTCTGAGAACTTTTTTTTTACTAGTTAAATCACATTTTAGGCTATCTCCCGAAGTCGTCTAGGACATTATTGTAGAACATAGTTCCTAGAGGGAAGGGATGGCCATGATGCAAAACTATCCTAAAAATATGCTTGCATATTTGTGGTAGTGCAATTTCAGACACAGTTTGTATAGAGCCCTTGTTAATTTATTTTTAGAACCTGACTTTATCATAATGAATTAATATTATTGTCAGAGTATTTGGTGTCAGTTGATCTGCATCATTTTCCCCTCCAGATCTTTTTCCAGTTCCAACTCTGATAACTATTTCTGCCAACACGTTAGTCATTACTGACATAGACAGAAATCAGACCATCCAGAGCCTTTCAGCAAAAGGAGGTATAAAAGTTGTCTGTTACACTGCTGATGACGAGACAATGTATTATATCCAGGAAGATTCCCTTTTTCTTCTGAACGTACAGAATAATTCCAGGCTTCAGGTATTCGATTGTCTATCTCCTTGTTTGAAAGGAGCATGTAAAATAGGTATATTATTGCTGTTATTAGGGGATAGTGTTGTAATGTATTAGATCACAATTAGAGTATAAAACTGAAAAGAGAAACCTGACATTTTTAATGGGGAAAACGGCATTAGAAACATAGCCTATTCTGCTTTAATTATTGCCAGCATGTATGAGATGCTTAGTGTAAGTTGTATATGACTGGGTTATTTAATTTCTAGTAATATAAAAATCCTCATCCAGTCTGGAAAAAAAAATCAATTTATCTGTAGCTGTTAGAACTGGTTGGCATTTTTTATATGGAAAGTTTTCCTATAAATATATGGTTATATTGAAACTGGAAACTTTTGCTGGAAAATGTCAAAGCTTGTGAAAAACATTAATTTCCCAACAAATGATACCTAGATGATGATTTTCATTTGGTACTGACATATGAAATAAAATGAGTTTCATTTCAGCATAAAATGGTATTTTATTGTATTGATTTAAGAAAACCAAAGTAACTCATGTTGAAATGTTGATTTGAAATTAAAATTTTTGCTTCCGTCAAAAAAGTCAAAATTTCTCATTTCATGATTTTTTGATATTTTGACTTCGTTACAAAATGAAACAGAAACTAATTTCAAACTGTTCACATTTCCCTGAGGATTAAAAATTCTACTACACTGTTTTCTTATTTCCCTTAAGCTTTTCAGACATGGATTTCTCCGAAATGTCACAGCTATTACAATTGACTGGATTGCAAGACACCTCTTTTTTTCCTTGAAAACATCACAGAAAGGAACTCAAATACTACTTATGGATCTTGAACTCAAGGCAAAATCTCTTAAAACTTTGAACGTTCAGTCAAGTAACCAATATTTAACTATATCATCTCTCTCAACATATCCTTTCTTAAGGTGTAGTATGAAATGACTGATAACATGTGTTTTTAATTTAACTGAAATACAGCGATTTAAACAAATTAATAGATTTTTGAAGCCAGAAGGGAACATAGTGATCCTCTAGTCTGACCTCCTGCATTACACAAGCCATGGGATTAGTGGCTGAAATTCTGTCTCCACAACTTCTGGCTGAGCTCAAGTATATATGTTAGAAAAATTTCCATTCTTGATTTAAAGACTTCATGTGATGGTTATACTGACATGAAACTCCGTATATAGTCAAGCAAAATGAAAGTTGGTAGCTAAATTACAATTTCTGCAATGTGCAAATTACAATCCTGATTAAAGTTGACTTCTGTTTAAAGATGTTCTGTCTAAAAGCAATCAAACAAACAAAGTAAAATAAAATAGACAAAACCCGAGAACCACAACAAAAAACTTGACACCACTGTGAGGGAATTCCATTGTGTCTACCCTACAATAACTTTAATGATTCTATGGCTGTATTCAGAGCTGGCCCAAGGATTTTTGGTTTCCTAGGCGAACTATGACTTTGGTGCCCCCATCACATTTAATATAGAGCAAAATGAGAAGTCTAAACTGAAATTTTACCTTTACTTACTTGGTATTCGAAATGAATAATGTACGAATACAAATCTTAATCTTACAAGTACTTGTGATTCTCCTTTTACAATCTTGTTAAAACCCAATTGGTTTTACCAAAGTTTTCAAGTCCAACACTATACAAATTCTTTATGGGCACAGTGTCTTCGGGATCATGGCCTGTAAATGGCAGAATAATTGTTGTAGGTGGCTAACCAGCTTTCAATAAGTGGCGAGCAACACTGACTCAACAGTATGACACCGCAGCTAAGAATGACTGAATGAACTGCTGGGCCCCACCTCTAGGCAGCAAACCCAGGGGGTGCTCTTTTGAAGCTATTCCATGACACATTTTAACTGTACCTATGTAACTGCCATGTGCCACATGTGAAATAAATAATATAACTCAACTTCTGACATGGCAATAGCACACTGTTTTACAAGTACAATATTTGATATTTTTATTTATATGAGATCATATATTAATATATTTTAAATAGATACAAAATTAACATCTGACTAATTTAGTACCCCTTAAAGTCCAGTGCTGTAGGCAACTACCTGCTTCACCTATATGGTTTGGCTGGCCCTCGCTGTATTCAATCTTGAGACTGTATTTAAAGAAGGTTGCCTGTGGCAGGTTTTTCTATTGTAAATGATATATTTTGTCTGTACCTGATAGCCGTCTGTATTGGATGGAAACCTTTGATTCAAGCAGCAGGATATTTTATGATGATATTGTGAATAACACCATGCACCACATTTTGGGACACGAGATAAGAAGAAGCCACTGCAGTTGCAATGTGACCAAAACAGAGCTTGGCAGAGCAATGACTATAGATATGTCTGATTCTAAGAAATCCCAGATTTTCTTTATCAAAGGAAGGGATGAAATCTGGGTCTCAGATATAGATGGATGCCACTGCTGGAAAGTGATCAATGTTCCTAATCTTCAAGGTGAGATCACTCGGATGTGTCTTAAATTCTCAGTCTGTTCCATCAAAGCATTTACTTTTCAGCAAAAACAATGCAATATTCATCAGGGATTTGCTCCACAAGATTAGCCACTTTGAAATGAAGACAGAAGAAAGAAGCCTATGTCTGAGTGTTTAGTTGTGCTTGCCATTGAAACAGAGCAGAGCAAAGAACCATGTGGGATATTTACAGAAACTATTATTTCCTATTAACTCATCCATCAGACAGGCACAGTGTGACATCAACTCCTGATGCTTGTCAGTAGGTGCCTCTGTATTTACTACATTGTCTTAGTACTACTATATTACTTAGAGAGGGTTTAATATTGGAAATATAAATTTGTGTAGCCACTTCCAACAACCAGAGAGTAATACCAGCCTCAGTATCTCCCTTTCCATTATGAAAAGGATGGCTTGAATGTGGTGCAAGTGTTCCACAAACTAAAAGTCTTATAAGATGACTCATACACTGGTAACCCATGTAATGGTAACCCAGACTCCGTTTGCATCTTGGTCCTAGACACTGTAGCCAAACAGTGGTAAAACTGTCCTATTATAAAAGAGTCTTTGGACTCTGTAGTGGCATTCATGCCCAATAACGTGCTCTCCAATTTTGTGTTATATGATCACCAGTGTTTATCACTTCCTGTAATTAATCTTAATTCTAATAATTGGATAAGAAGAGAAAGCATCAAATATACAGTTTATTAAACAGGAAAATACTTTACCTCTGAGACATGTCAGAAGTCTTTCTGAAGACTCAGATTAGTGTGCAGCTCATTTTGACTTGCAGTGGGATTGGATATCTAACAGCACTTTTGCCTTCGAAAATCACCCCTTTAATTTTATTTTGAAACCTAACTCTGTAATATTTTTCTACAGACATGACAATTGGCAGTTTGACTGTTGACAGACTGTTTATATACTGGACGGTTGTAGCAAAGGACTATACGGCAATTTATCAAGCAAATAAAGAAAGCAAAATCCTCTTTTTTCAGGAAAGAACACAGGAACAGGTGCAAATCTTAGCATATAGCACAGCCATGCAGCCCTATCCAGGTATCAGGCTTTTAATTTGTCTTTTTAAAATAAATTATTTGGATTGTAAATTATTCTAGAAGTATTGATTTATAATTTACCAGCCGACAGCAGATGGATTTTATAGGAAAATTATTTAGATATATAGGACAGCACAATAGTTTGTAATACAATACCAATTTTAGAAGATAGAATGGAAGCTAAGAACTGGCTGCATGTTACATTGTGTGAGAGTGCCTCATGATATTAGAGGCTGCATGCAATCCAGGAGCATGGGTTGTGATGAGTAATGGACAAAACTTCTTTGGAACCCGCAGGGCGTTCAAAAAGAGGTGATTTACAGTGGAACCATAGGTAAACTGTAAGTGAGGCATCCTGAAGACAGTGTGATGATTCAAAGTAGAATTGCAAGAGCAGGGGTGCTGGAACCATTTTTATAATGTGTGTGTGTGTGTGTGTGTGTGTGTGTGTGTGTGGGAGAGGGGGAGGGGCTCAGAGTCACTGAATTAAACTGTAAATCGTCTATATAATGAAAGCCACTTCAAGCCAGAGGGTGCTGCAGCATCGCCTTCACCCCTAGTTGTCCGGCACCTATATGTAGAGTTTAATTAGGGAGTGTGAAGGCAGCTTGTGAGTAGAGGGATGAAAAAAGTATGAGAAAACTTCACAGCAAATTAAAATTAGACTTTGACCTACAGGTCTTCTTCTGCTGTGACAGGCAAATTCAGTCTACTCTGTCTATACAGCACTTGTCACAATAGCAACTTAGGGCCAGATTTTCATAGGTACTTAGGTACTTATTGGAATTATTGTTATTTATGCAGTGTATTGCCACGACACTAATTTAACCATAAACTTCTTTACTAAATCCAAAAGTTACAAATTTGACATGACAACTTTTCTTTCTCAGGATCATTTTCTCTTTGGTCAAATGCTTTGGGTCTGTTGCCCATGCTAATATCCCAACTCAATACCATAGTTCACCCACATCTAATGTAGGTCTGTGTTCCAGTAGCTCTTATCAATGTACCTAAATATCTTTAAAAATCTGCCCTTGAGTAACTTACAAGAAAATAAACAAGTCCTTCACTTTGAAAAATTCTACTTTACTGGCAACGAAAAATGAACCCAAACTATTAAATGTAGACTTTTTTCTTCTCCTGTGTATGAAACCAATGGAAAAAAAGGCATTTGCTAGTTATATAAATTGTTACCAAAAACAGTAGGATCACATCTAAAATCTAGAGTGTCCCTACAGCTATTACACTTCAGAATATTTTCTTTCCCATCTCTTCTAGATAAAGGGTGCCTGACCTTAGCTTCACATGCCGAGAAACCTACTATTCTCAATATTACAAACACCAGTTTTACAGTTTGCTTACCGCCTATCAAAACACAACTTCACTGCACTGGCATAACCCTCCCTACTCCAACATACCTGGTTTACTATGGAAAAGTTACTAATGATCTCAGGAGCTCAGCCCGCTGTATGTCTGGCCTACATTGTACAGTCATGGTAAGACTATTTTGGAACAAAAACTTGCACGGTATCATGTATGAAGAGGTGACTTCATAACACTTCTAAATGTTTGATAATCTGTTCTGAAATTTTCCTCCAATGGACATGACTCGGTAATAATTTCCCACTCCATCAAACCATGCCACCTTTTCTATGTGACTCTTTGTGTCATAAATGGTGGCTTCCCTGGCTTACTGTAACATATTTGTACACAAGATAACTCTCTGACATTCTACTTTTGTAACATTTCCTTGCTGAGCTCATTTGAAGGGACACTTCTATTTCTACTGAGCAAAAGCAGGTTGTGGTTGTTAATACTCTATTTAAATAGCCATTGAGACCAGTTTGATCTTTGTGGTAGCTGTCCTTTCTATTGGAAATGAATAGCCTTCTGCTCTTACTTTTTTTTTTCGGTTGCTATTTCTAATCCCTCTGACAGTGGCTGAACAATAATTATTATAATTGTAATTGTAATTATTTGCACCTCGCTCATGGGCCTGCTGCAATCATTAAAAAGATTTCCATTTACTTCAGTGGGAGCTGGATAAGACCCCTAGCTCACATATTTATTATACCATGAAAATGACAAAACATTTTCTGGGATGGAAGTTTGTTGTCTGAGCTCAAAATTGACACAGTTTGACGATTCCTTGTTACTTCCCATGAAATGAGTTGCAGGTAGCAGTCTATTTCCTTACAGGCAGGTACCTGTATCACAAAGAACACCATTGCATTTGGCACTATTTAACTGAATTAATGAATTGTTGGCAATCTGAGTAAAGGATTAAAATGGCACAAAACCAGATGTAACCTAGTTCATTCCTAGAAATGACCCACTGAAATCGGGATCTCACCCACCCTGATCTGTCAGAGATGTTAACATTCTAATGTAGGCAATCTGGCATCTTTCATGATCACTAAATTTACTTTTTGTAAAAAGTATGTGATATTTTGACTTTTTTCTGTGTAGTTAAATCCTATGTTCCCATTTCATGGCAGGTGCTTGTTTGGACATATGGTGATTTATTTTCTACAAGTATTTGTCTGTCATTCTGCCTCTTAATTACAGGAACTTCAGGAAAATACAGCACTTATTGAAGGCCTACAGCCATTTTCAAGTTATGTGATACAAGCTGCTGTAAAAAACTATTATTCAGATTCTTCGGAGCAGCCACCTTTGGGGAAAGAGACCATTGGCAAAACTCTTTATGGAGGTGAGTTTTAGGCTTTACTCTAACTCAGTGGTCCCCAACCTTTTCTTAATTACAGGAACTTCAGGAAAATACAGCACTTATTGAAGGCCTACAGCCATTTTCAAGTTATGTGATACAAGCTGCTGTAAAAAACTATTATTCAGATTCTTCGGAGCAGCCACCTTTGGGGAAAGAGACCATTGGCAAAACTCTTTATGGAGGTGAGTTTTAGGCTTTACTCTAACTCAGTGGTCCCCAACCTTTAGAGGCGCCCG